CAACACAGGGCACAACACAACACACAACACAAAACTCACACACACACACACTACACACCACACAGCACCTATACAACGTACCCATGGCATACAACACGCACAGCAGTGAACAGCGCGCGCGTACCTGGCTGCTTCAACAGTTTGAGGTGGGAAGCCACCGATGCAATCACAAAATTTGGACCGTATCTTTGTCGGCAAACTGCATGTCAGCGCGCCCTCCCACAACTCAGCGAGAATTGAGGCCAGAGGCGAAAGCGCCAATCTGTCGTGAGTTTTGCCGTTTTGTGTAGCAAGCGACAAAAGATATCCACATCCAAGTGTGGCTTTATGGCACCTCGTTCGCCGCGCCGATGGCCTCCACCCCGTCAGCTTCTACTGCCGACAATAATCGCCTTCCGCGATTCGAATAATGGTTCTTTTTGTTTAGCGTGTTTGTAAGTAATGCTGATAACAAGTTCATGGTATAATGCCGATTGTATATTACCCATCAGGCATAGATATAGCATTAAGATAGGAATAAACGAGACAAAGCGCCAATGCAGTACTCGTAAGTTATTAGTGAGCACGTTATAGTGTTATGGCCGGCGCTATATTGCATGACGGGGGCCTAAGGCAGCACTATGTAGAATTGTAATAATAGTGTATGACTGGGGACCACCCAAGCCACATATAATAAGTAATTCTGTATGAACGGGGCCTAAGGCAACCATATATAGAATTTGTTAATAATAGAATAGGTAATGATGGGGGCCAAGGCCACATGATATAGTATTGTGTAGTAAAGGGGCCTAAATGTGTAGTTCTAAGTAGTGTGGTGGTAAGGGCCTTGGTTGTAACATATATCCGCTCCAGCAAAGATAAAGTAAGGCTGCATTACTTGCACTATTGTAATTATTGCGTCAGCGGGGCCCTATAGGCCGCGGTGGCTTAAGGCCCACTGGGATGTGGTAATCTTGTCGGCCTGCTTACGCAGCGGGGACGCCCTTACATGCGGTTCTTCTTCGCTATTTTAATCTAAAAGATGCGCTACTGATGGAATGTTATCTATATAAACTATGCTAGGATAGCTCCTCTTCATTTTTAAAGCATAATCTTTGCAAAAATACGATTTTTTCCTCGGGAGATCTTGCGCATGCGGCGCGCAACCGTGTTTAGGGCGTGCTGTGCCGTCTGAAGGTAGACTTCATATATATGCTTGCTGAGGGGGAGAGGGGTATGGGAGACTGAAGGAAAGGCGGCATGAAAAGTATATGCTGGGGCGGTAGAAGATAAAGGAGGCTGAGGCGAAGGAACAGGGGAGGGCTAAGGGGCAATGGACGCACGAGACATTCAAGTAGGTGTTGTGTGTTACCCTACATTGCTAGGGCGTCTCCTAGATTATAACACGGGTATACTGCGATAAAGGTTTAATTAAGGAATTCTAATGCTGAGATACCCCCTAACACATTTTAAATTCATTATTCATCGCAAAATGATAAATCCTCTGGTGAGATATTTGCACTTGCGCTAACACGACTAACGTAGCCAGATTGTGTAACTGGCTGGTGATACGCAGGGCCGGTACCTACATGGCAAGGTCGTTCTCCTATTTCTTCATTGACTGTCTACAGAATGAATGTTATCAATAAGCAATCTATATTGGATAACTCGCTCTTTCACGATCTTGGCAGTGGCTACCAGGTTGAACTAACTGGACACACGGGAGGCAAACTATTCGTTGTTCTTGTATTTAATGCAACTATTTACGTTGTTAATTTATGGTAATGTGCATGTTTTAATCAGGGTAGCCATTTAAAATGCAGGGATATTACCTTGATGGATGTTTATGAATATGTTAGTTGACTGTAGTTTAGTACAAATGCGTGCACTAACAATGTGCGTAGAAAAGACAAGATATCTATATGTGCGGCTATGATATGTCTCAATGTTCTTCGGTCCTAATTGTCATCTAAATATACGATTGCGACCGTCGATGATTTATTTAGATTCATTTTAAGTTGAAAATGATTGTAATCCGCCAGACGTTTATCATGGCGTGTCCCGTCTGTAAATCATGGCATTTCCTTTTCCTTTCCTGTTTGAATTACCTGGTTTCCACGATGTTCTTGCCAGGAACGGGAGTAATACTCTGCAGTCACCGTATTGTGTATTTATTTGCTTACGAATATTAGATGGTGCGCCTGCCGGTATATGTTGTAGGAGAGTTATATATATCGTGGCAGGCTTTTAGCTATACCGCCGATAATCAAGACACGTTCATACGCGTTTGTATTTTGGTTGGGCAAATTTCGAGAAACATATACATGTATTATTGTGGAACTTTAATGTCGTGTTTTTGTCTTTCTGCCGTGGAGAAACCTCTTCTCCACCGATGTTCTCCTTCTTCCGCCTCCTCGCTTGTCAGCCCAGCTACTCCCGCTCCCTCTTCTCCAGCCAGCTTCTTTCTTCTCTGCTTCTCCTCCACGACCAGCTTCCTTCTCCCCCTCGCTTCTCCCTCTTTCTTCTTTCTCCACCAGCTTCTCCTCCTTTCCTTCTCAACCAGCTGCTCCCCCCTCTCGCCACCAGGCTTCTCCCTCCTCCTTACTCTACAGCTTTATCCTTTTTCCCTTTCTCTTCTCCATCAGCTTCTCCCCTCCTCGCTTCTCCACTCAGCTTCTCCTTCTTCCCCTTCCTTCTCCCTTCCTCCTTCTCCCACCAGCTTCTCGCGCCCCTTTCGCTTCTCCACCTCGCTTCTCCCCTCCTTCTTCTCCCCGCATCTTTCCTTTCTTCCCTTCCTGCTCCACACCTTCTCCCTTCTTGCACTTCTCCTTCCCACCAGCTTTTCCCCCTCCTCCTTTCTCCTCCTCCTTCTCACCAGCTTCTTCTTCTCCCTTCCTGTTCCTTCTCCGCCAGCTTCCTCCCCTCGCTCCTTCTCCACGCAGCTTCTCCCTCCTCCTTCTCGCACCGAGCTTCTCCCCTCGCTTCTTCTCCACCAGCTTCTCCTTCTCTCTCTCTCTTGCCTCCCTTCCTTCCTTCTCCACCAGCTTCTCCCTCCCTCTCCTTCTCCACCAGCTTCTCCTTTCCTCCCTTCTCCTTTCTCCATCCAGCTGTCTCCGCTCCTCCTTCTCACCAACTCTCCCTTATCCTTCCTCCTCACACAAATCTTCTTTCTCCCCCTCCTTCTTCCGCCTTTCTCCTTTCCCCAGGCTTCTCTGCCTTCCTCTTTCTCCACAGCTTTCCCGCCTCCTCTCTTTCCACCGTTTCTCCCCCTTCTCGCTTCTCCATCAGCTTCTCATTGTCTTCCCTTCCTCCACCAGCTTCTCGCGCCTGTCCTTCTCCACCAGCTTCTCCCTTCTCCCCCTCCTACTTCTCCACCAGCTTCTCCCTTCTCCCCCTCCTTCTTCCCTTCCTCCTTCTCCACCAGCTTCTCCCCTCCTCCTTCTCCACCAGCTTCTCCCCTCCTCCTCCGCCACCTTCTCCCTTCTCCCCTTCCTCCTCCACCACCTTCTCCCTTCTTCCCTTTTTCCTTCTCCACCAGCTTCTGCCCCTCCTCCTTTCTCCCCCTCTTCCTTCTCCACCAGCTTCTCCCTTCTCCCCTTCCTTCTTCTCCACCAGCTTCTCCCCTCCTCCTTCTCCACCGGCTTCTCCTTTGTCCCCTTTCTCCTTCTCCGCCAGCTTCTCCCCCTCCTCCTTCTCCACCAGCTTTTTCCTTCTCCCCCTCCTCCGTCTCCATCAGCTTCTCACCTCCTCCTTCTCCACCACCTTCTTTCTTCTCCCCTTCCTTTTTCTCTACCAGCTTCTCCCTTTTTCCCTTACTCATTCTCCACCAGCTTCTATCCCTCCTTCTTTTCCACCAGATTCTCCCATCCTCCTTCTCCACCACTTTCTCCCTTCTCCCCTTCCTCATTCTTCACCAGCTTCTCCCTCTCCTCCTTCTCCACCAGCTTCTCCCTTCTCCCCTCCCTTCTCCTCTTCCTCCTTCTCCACCAGCTTCTCCCTTCTCCCCTTCCTCATTCTCCACTAGTTTCTCCCCTCCTCCTTCTCCCCTTCCTCCTTCTCCACCAGCTTCTTCCCCTCCTCCTTCTCCCCTTCCTCCTTCTCCACCAGCTTCTCCCCCTCCTCCTTCTCCACCAGCTGGTGTCTTAGCTGAAGTGGAAATCGTCATATTTGAGCATATATGCGAAGTGCGCATGCGCATACGCATCCCATATCATTAATATTTCGCAGGTCAGAAATTTTTACACACAAAGACGCGCTGTGATTAATCGGGTCGGTACGCATGCGAAGTGCGCATGCGTATACGCGTACACATGCTCATAGGCACCCTATCTCAGATATTTCGCAAGTCAGAAATTTCGCGCTACACCTGTCGCACCACGAACCTAGTAAGCTTCGAGCGACGCCTGCGTGCTCGCGTAACCCGTTCTGACTCGTTTTATTATGTGCGACTGTAGTGGTAGTAGCGTATGCGACGACAGCACGAGACCGGACACAAGAACTGCACATATACTGCTGGCTATAGATTATTGTTTTCACCACGACTATATATATATATATTATATATATATATATATTTATGTGTGTGTGTGTGTGTGCGTGCGTGCGTGCGCGTGCGTGGGTGCGTGCGTGCGTGCGTGCGTGCGTGCGTGCGCGTGCGTGCGTGCGTGCGTGCGTGTGTGTGTGTGTGCATCTGGCTATACAACAACAACTTTATATTATTTTTTCCTCTCTCTCTCTCTCTCTCTATATATATATATCCCTATTATCTACTGCTGATATATATATATATATATATAGGATAATATTAACCATCAACAAATGATTAACGAAAACAATTACAACGGCATGTATAGGCTTCAGAAATTACATTTTTTCGAGAGATGGTATGCTCGTAAACATGTAGATGGAAAAAGTAATGGCTGACAAAATAGTTAGTAGTAGGAATAGTCTATCTAGAATGTTAGCCAAAGTGTTCCAGTCCTTTTGTATGCTATTCGCGACTAGGCGCTTTTCCTGGGAACATATAAAGGCGGTTACTTCTACAAGGGCGTCGATTTTCTCCTTTATTCTTCGGTTTTCATCTAGATCTCTTGCAGTAGACGCGATTGCTATGGGGGTGGCATCTGTCTGATTTCTCGCCTGTGTATCTGCCTAAAATACAAATACAGATACAAGCGCAATCACAAATACAATTACAAACGCAGACACAAATACAAACGCAGATACAAATACAAATACAATTAGTGGTTATACAGTGCATTCATGTAACCAATAAAAATGTTAGTACACAAGAATGTTCCTGTAAGTGTGACAATGATATCGCACCTGTTCACAATAGTATGAACTCGTAGACTGTCCAGACATCTTCCGTGATACACACGCCCCTCTCTCAGTAGACGCGGTCGCTGAGCGAATCAAACCGACCGTATTCCTCGACTGTATGGGAGCAATAAAAAATAATTACGTTACAGATGATCGAGTGCAATCATGTAAGCGATAAATATTAGGAACGTAACCTTATCTACAAATATGATACTCGTGACATTCCCGCTCACAGCAATATGACTGCTTTTTATTTCTATTTAATCCACACGTGTTTTAATTCAGTGTATTAATAATTGAGCAATTTTGGGTTGATATTGGACTATCCACTAAAAGTAATTTTAAAATACAATTAAATTAATTAAAAAATCATGTCTTTTTACCATCACATCTTCGTTTGCTGATTGTTCCTTGTCACGTGGAATATAGACGAGCAGAAATTTAGCCACGTGGCTAAAGAAGATTTTCCGAATTCTGGGTGAAATAGCCACATCAGAATTAGCCTTGGCAGCCACGCAGACGTTTACGACTGTCAGTATTGTGGCGGTTGAAATAGTTACCATCAGTCCTCCGTAATACTTCACTGTAAGATTTCAAAACGCAAGAACAAATAAAAGATCTGGCGACGTCATATTTGTACTTGTGCGAGACCAACACTCGTAGCAGTAGGACGTATAAAAATATTAACGTAATGTGCTTGTATAAGATAGTGCCAAATTAACGGGGTTCGGCTCCTTTAATTGTTGAACTTTTTGCCCGATAATGAGGGTGAGAGTGCAAGCACCATATTATCATTCATATAAAAGGAAACGAGGAATGTAATATGTTGCTACTTTGCCACGTATAACTATCCCATTAAACAACAGCAACCGATACTATTATCTTAATTCAATGCTCTTCAAAAGATATTTGATACGATATAGAAGTTTAGCGACGTGTTTGAACTGAAAATGTGAGTTAATTCTCACAGTTAGTAACAGTTATAGCCAGAGTAGGTTTTTAATCCGGATCAATCGGAATTCGGAGGAAGGTGGGTTTCTTGGATTGGAATGTGACTTAAACAGAAATAATTTAATAAATTCATAATTATTTCCATCATATAAAGAGCGTATTAAGAAGGCCTTCTTAATACGCTCTTGATCCTATATATATATGAGATACATTCCGGTTTGGGGCTGAAAGCAATGTACATGAAGTAAACAACAAAACCAATAATATTAAAAGGCCAGAACGTAAAAATCGCGTAGTTAAAGGAACAGAAATCGGCATTGATGAACCTTCTGCTACTCTCATTTTGGGTTAGAACACCGTCCATTAATGATCAACAGGACCTGCTAATTAGGACGCTTTAACGGTTACAGCCCTATAGACCGAAGGTCCGATAGACCGAAGGTCCGATAGACCGAAGGCCCTATAGACCGAACCGAAGGTCCGATAGACCGAAGGTCCGATAGACCGAAGGTTATGTGTTCAAGGTGTAAAGATGCATTTTCGGAATACGCAGTGGCTACGCGTTCACACACACACACACACGCACGCACGCACGCACGCACGCATGCACACACACGCACACACACACACACGCACGCGCACACGCACACACACGCACACACTCCCCCCTACTAATAACTTACCGAGTGCTGCCATTGGCGCTTGTCTTGTTATTATTCCTATTTAATGCTATATCTATGCCTATGCGGATAATATACAATCGCATATACCATTTGGTAACTTGTTTTAGCATTACTATAAACACGTAACAAAAAGACATTTTTTCGCATCGCGCGAAGGCTGTTATTGTCGGAGTGAGCTGACGGGGGGTGAGGCCATCGGCGGGGAACGAGTGGCCTTAAAGCCAACCACTTTGGATGTGGAAATCTGTCGCCTGCTACACAAACGGCAAACTTCACGACCAGATGGCGCTATTCGCTCTGCGCTCAATTCTCCTAGTGTGGGAAGCGGGCGCTGCCCATGCGTTTGCCACAAACGGTCAATTATTGGTATTGCATGGGTGCTTGCACCTGGGCCCAAAGTTTTTGAGCATGCAGCGTACTGCGCCGCTGCGTGTCACTGTGTGTGCGTGTGTTAAATGCAATGGGTACGCTGTGTATGTGTGTGTGTGTGGTGTGTGTGGTGTGTGTGTGTGTGGTTGTGTGTGTGTGTGTGTGATGTGTGTTGTATGTGTGTATGCGTGCGTCGCGTGCGTGCGTGTCTGTGCGTTGCGCTGCGCGCGCGCGTGCGTGTGTTGAGTGATGTGTGTGTGGGGGGCGGGAGTGGGGTGGTTGTGTAAGTGAGTGATGGTGCGTGAGTGAGTGAGTAAGTGCGTGATGTGAGTGAGTGTGATGTGAGTGCAGTGTAGTTGAGTGAGTGAGTGGAGCGAGTGAGTCAGTCCAGTGAGTGAGTGCATGTGTTGTGTGCTGCGCGTGCCGTGCTGGTGTATGGTTAAAGGTGACGACAGATTTAGGTTTAGGTGTGGAAGCTGCAATTAGGCTACAGGTGGTTAAATGGCGAGCAAAACTGAGCTGTCAATATATGACGTTAGCGCGCGTCATTTGTTGCGAGTATCGTCAGCTATCCGAAATGCTTCGGACAAGCGTGCTGACCCTATAATCTATCGACACATTGCGGGAGCGTTCTCGCCTCGTGATTACTGGAGTGAGCCTTTGAGATCAACATTCATCACATCTACCTACTCCGGAGTATGTACTCACTACATTATGTTATTATTTCATACGTAATTTATATTATGAATTATATTAGTTAGGCATCAATACATCTGGCTCCTCATGCTCGACACTATCGCCACCTAATGGCTACGAAAAATTGTATGCAATCTCATTTAGATTTGTGAGGAATATTGAGGTAACTGGGCTCTCCTATATTGTATTATGGAGGCAGTGCGTTTTACATTTTTCACAGAAAAATGTTCCTGGGTATGCCGTCTCTATTCTAAAGACACAATTTCATCAAAATATGATTTCTGTTAGCAAGTCGGAATACGCACAGACTCGCCTGACCCTCTCATGTCTATAGTACGTTCAGGAGGTATTGGGATTATTTTACCGCCTCCATAGATACTGAAGTGAATTCTAGTGAACAATATTTTTTACATTCTTCCTACTCCAAAATCCCGTAGTGTTTAACTATGAAACTATCGCTATTCCAGTGTCACGCTAAATAATAAGACAAATTTTTGAGTTGCCCCAAAAACAAGGTTAAATAAAAAAAAAATTTTTGGCCATACTTCAGCACTCTCCTAAAAATATATATATTTAACTAAACTATGTTTGTAAAAGTAGAAAGTTCAGTCACCGGAATAGTCTGCTATATGAAATTTTCTATTCAAACAGTCACGATTTAATAATTACAGTGCTGCTTCGTCTACCCGAGCTGTCGTTTATGACTGTAACTAGGCGCTAGACCTGCTGTTTCGCGCACGTATGGTTATTTCCGAAAGAAGTGTAGATATAATGAAAATAATACATTTAAAGAAGAGTGGACTATACCGCTATGTGACATTACTATAATGTTGATGACCCCGAATCGGGAAACTCGACATCAATGTATCATTTAGAAGGTATAAATGTGCCCGTGATATGTATATATATCAGCAGTACATAATAGAGAATTCTATTATGAAATCATTAAATAACATTATATTAGGAGAATTCTATATTTTCTATTTTATTATAAGTCTATTATGTTACTTTTGCATATATATAATTATACTAACTATATATATATCCTTCGCAGATCTGTGTCTATGTTCTCTCTGTGTCTTTTATGTCTCTCTCTGTGGTCTTCTACATGTCTCTCTGTGTCTCCGTCCTTCTCTTCTTTCGATATATTCTATTCTATCTAACGATTAACTATCGTATCTATTCTATCTATCTTATTCTATCTTATCTATCTATCTATCTATCTATATTATACTACTACTATAGTATATATTATATATATATATATATATATATATCCATCTACGTAGAGTCTTCGTACTTTCCACTCTTCCCCCCCCCTCTCTCTCTCTCTCTCTCTCTCTCTCTCTCTCTCTCTCTGTCTCTCCCTCCTTCTCTCTCTCTTTCTCTCTCACTCTCTCTGTCTCTCACTGTCTCTCTCCCTCTCTCTTCCTCTCTCCCTCCCCCTCTCCCTCTCCATCTCCCTCTTCCTCTCCCTCTCCCTCTCCCTCTCCCCCTTCCTCTCCCTCTTCCTCTCCCTCTCACTCAACCCCCCTCTCTCCCTGCCCATTCCCCCACCCTTAACCTCTCATCTCGCGTGCTCTCTCGCTTTCCTATCTCTCTCTCCTCTCTCTTCATTTGTATCTGTCTCTCATCGGAAGAGGTCGAGTAATAGGGAGGGGCCAACACACAGTATTTACCTATAAGGGACGCCGCAATATCTGGGCGCGTCCGGTTGGCGATCGTACTGGGAAATGTCTTATTTTACCGCTAATCATTTTTTTTGGCTAATCATAACCCTTGACGATCTGCCCAGCCCGGTATATCCTGCGCGAAGCGCCAGCATGAACGCCGCCCGCAGCGGTGACACAGGATGACTTATTTCGCTGCTCTATATTTAGAAATGTTCCGATGGCCCTTATGGGTATTAGATGAAAGGCCGTATAATCGGTCATGGGAGTTGTGGCGGATTGCACGAAGCTTTTCGGATATTGCACGTATGGGCGAGAATCAATCAAAAATGCCTCGTTAATTGCCTACTTTGCTTGGTCGGCGCGTTCCTTTCGTTCTAGAAAGCGAGTTTGCATTTCTTCCTTTCCAACGCCTTGAACTTAATTCTCGTACTTATGGCGTCCCATCAGATGGCCGCGACGAGGCTCTCTTCGAGGGATTTTCAAGCGGAATTTTTCACACAAGGATCGGCGATCCAGCTTAGACTTGCTTCCGCGGATTGGAGAGCTTCACACGCTGCCACTAACTATAACTTTTAGTAGTAGCGAAAGATACTTTGGCCCTCACTTAAGGTCCGTACCAGTCTAGCTGCGAATCGTGACGTCCGCATTCTTAATTATCGTTAGCCCATTTGTAGGACCCCTCACGATTCATGGCATCAAGCCCGTTGATTTGATGTTTTTTAGACTGAGAATTCCCACTAGACCGTTATCTGAAAAGCAGCAGGCCGCTCATGTCTTTACCCCGATGGTGTGATGTTTGCGATGATGGACGTTCATACTTCAAAGCATGTATCTATAGCAGAGCAAGAGCTGCCATAATACCATAGCCCTCTGCATACAGCGTAGAGCATATAGCATAGAGATACTTTTTCACGAATTATATCATACCCAAAATTCGATGTTTCATCCATTCGATATATTTGTATATGCCCAGGCTGTTGTACTGCGGAAGTGTTAAGGGTCTTCCATGTCAGGGACTCGAAGCAGGAACATTCTTTCCATAGGTGATGGAGAACTTCGTATGATAGTTCATTCGCTATTTTACTAATGTTGTTGTGGCGACCTATGTTGCATTGCTGTTGAACGATAGACGTTTGTCCAGGGACAGTGTGATAGCCATAACATGGTGTTCATAGTTATACTGTGTCATGTCCCCCTGGATAGATGTGGGTC